CGTGGCGCGGCCCCCCTCTGCCGCCCCGGTACAAGGGGCGGCCGGCCCCCGGCATCCAGAAGGTCGTGGCGACGCACTTGCGGGAGCTGCTGCGGCCGCTGCAAAAGGAGCTGCGCGAGTGGACCGTGGCCTTGCGCCAAGGGGCGGCGCGAGTCTTGCACACGGTCCTGGTCCTGGGGGGGGAGAACGTGACGGGCCACGTAGACGTTATCGTGCCCATGCTGTGCGCTGCGGTGGGCGACGAGGATGCTGACGTGGCAAAGCGGATAGTGAGCTGCGGCCACGTGGTGGGGGCGGCGGTGCGGCCCGCGATGTGGGTGCCCATCATGGGGGACGAGCTTACGGCGCCGCGCGCCAGCGCTGCGCAAAAGGCCAACCGGCTGGTCGTCCTGGCGGCGCTGCTGCACGCCACGGAAGAGGGGGGCCTCGCTGCGGAGCATGTCGCGCAGGTGGGTTGCGTGACGCCTCCGCAGCTTTCGTAAGCGGTGTTGCAAAGCGACGAAACTGCTCTACTCGGGCCCTCTTCGCACACGCTTTGTTCCTAGACCCTGTCTCGCGTCACGTGATTGACCAGAGCAAGGAGCAGACTTCCAACGTGAAATCCAGGGTCCCTCGGTCACGTCCTCACATGACGAGGCCACTCTCGTACCGACCCGAATCGCTTCGCGTCCCTGCAGATCGCTCAGATCGTGGCCGGGGAGGAACTGCGGTGCGCCGAGCATGCGGCGGTGCGCACCCAGTTGCTGGCGGTGGTGACCAACCTGGTCCGTGCGGCGGGGCCCGCCTGTGGGCCCGTCACCCTGCCCCTCCTGCAAACGCTCCTGCAGGTATGGGTCCGCGTCGCTTGCATACGCTACTTTGTGCCAGCCTGGTGCTCTGGACCATGTTAGGTACAGTGACCTTATGACCGTTGCTTAGATCTTCATTGCTTCGACTACTCGTGAGACGTGTCTCTCGTACAAGACTCCCTGTGGAAAACGGAACCCGGGCTTTCAAGGCTTTGAGAGTCGACGGTCATCCAGCGTCGCTCTATGTGCGGCCATCAGTCTGCCATCGGCGCCGTTCGTAGTGCCCGACTGACATGGCGTTGGTGCCAGCTCGCTCGTCTCCTCACCTTCTGACGCTCTCGTCTCATCACTCTGCAGCTCCAGGCCACCCCCAACGATGTCCCCCTCCAGCACTCCGCTGCAGAAGTCACGTCCGCACTCGCGCGCGCTACTGGGCACTCGTCGGTGTCGTCGCTGTTCTCGGAGCACCTGTCAGGGCTCCTGGCCACAGCGACCGCGGACCATGCGCAATGGGTGTCCGTGTCGCCCGGCTGGCAGCTCTTCCAGGCGTTGCTGCACGCGGCCGGGGCCGCTGCGGGGCCGGGCCTGGAGCAGGCACTCCCCGTGCTGGCGGGGGTGGTGCAGCAGGAGAGGGAGGCGGCGCTCAGGATCAGTGCTCTGCAGGTTAGGACCCCAGCTGTGCGGTGCACCCTGCTAGATTGATGAAAGGCCTGGCCTGCTGGTTGTCGGGTCGATTCGCAGCTTCTTCTGGTATGTTGCGTCCGGATCGCTGAAGCTGAAGGCATGATTGTCAGGGCGCCAGGTTCATTGTGCAGACCACCTTTGTTGCAAGGGCTCAAAATGCGTCGCCATTTATCTCTTTCTACTCAAGCATGCCCAGCGTTTCGGTTTCCGCATGTACGGTGTCTTTGCCGCACTCTGTCACTCCTGCTTCTGCGGCGCAGCTGGTGGACGAGCTGCTGGAGGTGCCTGCCCTGGCCGCCACTTGGCGTCGCCGGGCCGCGCGCCTGCTCGCCGAGATGCTGGTGCCGTGCGGGGTGTGGCGGGCCGGCAAGGTGGCCGCCGCCGTGCGCCACGCCGCCATGGTGGCCACCGGAACGCTGCTCAGAAACGACCTCTGCACCCAGGTGAGGCCCCGGCGGGGGGGACAGAAGGCGAGCGAAGGCACATCGAGAAGCGAGGACTGGCTCGGTTCCAATGACCAGCGCGGAGCAGCCGCTGGTTGAGGAACATGGCATGGCAGGCAATGAATCGGATGCTGAGGTCAGTTCGTAATCACAGCCCTCAAGCTTATGCCTGAACTTTTCAATGTTAGCGACCACGTCACCCGTACGTTCCAGGAGGACCTGCTGGGCGTGCTGAGCGGCAGCTCGCTGCTGGCGGTGGTGCGCTCCTGCCTGGAGGAGGACTACTACGTGGACACGCGCCGCGCAGCCTGCCACGTGGCGGAGCACCTGGTGCGGGTCGCCGGGCCGGCGCTGAGCGGGGAGCAGCGGCGGGCCCTGTACAAGGACGTGCTGAAGCGGCTGGACGACAGCAACGACGAGATCAGGATCGAGATCACAGGCGCCGCGCGGCAGCTGTTTGCGAGCCTGCCGCCGCACGAGGACGGGGCGGAGGTGCGCGAGCTGGTGGACGGCATGCTGGTGCACATGGACGACCCGGATGCGCGCGTGCAGGCCGCCGTGTGCAGCGCGCTCGAAGTGGCGGCGCGAGTGAGGGGAGTGCAGGTAGAAGAGGCGGTGCGCAAAGTGATGCAAAAACACCGCTCGCAAGTGTACTGCGCCAGAGTACTGGCAGCTGCAGAAGCGACCCATTGAGGCTCGAGTGCATGAGGGAACACTCTCGATCTTCCTGTTACACGGAAAGACTAATTCTGCGGCATGCACGCTAATGACATGAGGAATGTATGATTACAGTTCTGATGTAAGGTTTGATCTGCTCGCAGTACATGTCATTCAAGTGCTCTCCCGCCATTTCAAAAGGACATGCGCGGCCGCCTGATTATACCAATCAAAACGAACGACGGTCAGTGGAGCACATGCGACTTTGCAACAATTCTAAAAGCTGTAGGCGGTTCAGAGTACTGGTATAGTAGCTGCTGACAACAATTAAGTTCGTAAGGACGATCCCGCACAGCATGACCTTGTAGTCAGAGCTAAGGCTCACACAATCCGGATCCGGTTGAGGGCATGCTCGATATCGCGATCGCCCGAGCATGGACATATATGAGAGTGCGCACATGACGGTATACGCCAAACAACAGCTGCGAGCCTACACCGTTGAATCCATTGAACATTTTACCAATCAGCATGACCTTTAGCTGCAGCTAGCTACATAGATGACTGCATGCGCATGCTTCTGATTGTATACAGCAAAATCCTGTTGCAATCACGTACGAGTTCTCATGCAGCCGGCTGAGAACTTGTACGTCACCGGCCGGGGCCACATGTACCCGTATGCAATTAATTGTTTTATGATCGGTCCAAGTCAGACATCACTGACGGCCGGATCTAGCTTTCAGCACATGCACTTAGGCATGCGTGCACACGCGCGATCAATTGAGGACTCCATGGTTCAGTGCATGCGCCACGTACGACATGGTGACGCGGACTCATGTCCTGATTTAAGTCCTGCTTATATGATCATAAGCAGGCTAGGCCAGGCTCACATGATATCTGTCCTCCCGGCATCTTCAACACGAAGCTTGACCGCCGCCTCCGATAATGATGCCGACGGAAGGGTTCCTTTGCATGTGTAAGAACCATGTGTTATGGTTACCTTCCAAAACACTATATCAAACATACTTGATAGATGGGCACCGTGGACGGCCACTGGCTTTGTGGCTTTGGAAAAGCTTCCACCAGGTTGCACGCCCGACCAATCAAGCTTACTCAGTGTGAGTGCTGTATGAATGGAAATCGACGTGAGGTGCTTGCTACATAGCAGCGGCGTCCCGCTTATTGCAGTAAGTCTCCTGGCAATTGACCATGCCTAAGTATATATCCTATGGTACACAACACCGTACTGGGTAAAGCTGGTGACCACAGCAACCGCCCACTATACGCTCCCATAATACCACCAACCACCTTTACAAGCAATACAGGTCAGTCAAATGGGTGAGGCACGCCTAGTGCTCTCGATCAAGGACACGCTAAAACCGCCTTTGTTCTCATGCTGGCACAGGGTTGCCCCCCGGAGGATTGGGCCCGCCTGGAGTGGCCGGCCCTTGCCCTGCCCGCCTGTTCCTGTGCGTGATGCGACCTCTTGTAAGGTCGTAAGGTGAGATCTCAACCTTGACACGGTCCCCCTGGAAGATCTCAATTCTGTTGCGCCGGATTTTGCCCGAGATGTGCGCCAGCACCTGGCACCCGTTGTCCAGCGCCACCTGGAACATGGCGTTCGGCAGAGCCTTCTGCACCTCGCCCTCCATCTCGATCATCGCACTCTGCTTCTTCAGCGCTGGCCGCACGCCCGAGAACCGCCGCCGCTCGCCAACCTCGCCAAAGTCGCCCGTCAAGGCCATGGCCAATGCAAGGCCGTGCACGGCCCTCGAGGAGATGCGGGCGAAGACGAGAGCGTCGACAACGGAGGCGGCCGCTGCAGCAACCAGGACGACCTGCCACCAATGGGAAGCTGCGCAGCAGGAGCGGAAGGGGCTCGTTCTTTTAACAAATCGAATGGCGCCAAAGTCAGGGCAAGCAATTTGAACGTGCACAAGACGACAGTCAAACGAGCAGCCCTCAGACACGGCCACAAAGATAAAAGCACCCTCTGACAAAAACTCTCAAGTATGGAATGTGTTCGTTTCTTGTAACTGCAAAAATATCAAGTGCCGGGGGCCAAGAGTGCGGAACTGAGAGCGCACCTCGGGGCAGCCTCTCTGAGACGTTGACGTTGACGAGTTGCGCCGTCAGGAACGCCGCGGCTGAGGCGGCCGCCACACGCCAGCCCATGAAGCAGGACGAGACGAGCAAAGCGGGGGGCAGGCTCCACAAGGCAGCCTGCACCACCCAAAGCAGCAGACGCGTGTGTTTGAGCCTAACAAAGATGGGGTCGAAAACTTGTTCGACAAGCACAGCGAGGATGCGCAACTCAGCCAACAGCCTTTCAGGCAATCTCAAGCCCCCAAACAAGATGCAAGGCGTCTGTACAGAACGTCTACCCATTCTGGTCAGGTTGAGATTGCCACGACACCAAACACCAGAAAAGGGTCTCAACATCAACCCCACAGGGCTACACCAGTGCTCAGGCTTCACCTGTCTTGCCCTCTCCGCTCCCTGCTCTGAGGCCAGAATGCCGGTTTGCAGGAAGAGGGCGGGGTAGGCCAGCGCACGCATCGCCATTCGGGGCAGCATTCTGGGAACACCGGCTCGCCGCGTAAACAGTGTCCCCACCACAGTGGCAGCCGCCAAGCCCAACACGGGCAGCGCCATTCGCGTCGCCTCGCCCCAAGCGCCACTTCCAGCTTCGTCTGCTTGGCTGTCAACACTCAGACCAGGCGTCCCCGGGGGCTTGTCCTCCATTTGCAGGGCATGGGATGCGGGGAACTGATGTGGGCTGGTGAAAAAGGACCCGCCGTCAGGTGACGGTAGACGAGACCCGTCCAGCTCCAGGAACGCGGCCAGAGCAGAAGCGGCTGACGAGCCGCTGTCTCGGAGGCGGTCCGCCTCGGTTGCCATTGCATCCCAACTAGAGGGCCCTTGCCCGCTGACGCGAGCAAATGCCTGGGCTGCTTCACTAGAGAGAGGGGCCAATGTCGGGAGCGCGACCGCCGCTGCGGCGGCATCCACTACTTCGCTGATGCTTTCAGCAACCTTGGCCACCTTTCTCCGTGCCCGCTTCCACGCCCTGCTGCCGGCAGGCCCTGCCAACATCTTGGCCCTCTTGCGAGGGCCCAACCGCTCCAAGTGCAGCGCATGCCGGTGCGCCTCCTTCTTCCTGTCAGTCCGGGGGGCATCTTGACGAGGTTCACTACCGGGGGGAGGGGGGCGAGGGTGGCGCTTGGAGTAGGAGGGGGGGGAGGGGCCGTCGGAAGCGGAGCACCTGAAGAGAGGCCCCAAACAGCATTCAATCTCAATGAGAAACAATGTCAGCTGAAACATTAGGGGCTTTCATGGGTTTCTCAGCAGAAGCAAAAGCCATGTACTAACAGACTGAGCAGGTCAGAAGGGCCTAGATAAGGTAAGCATATGGACAACCTGTCCACACTGAGCCCCAGAATCGGGCATGGGGCCGGGGAAAAAATAGACGCGGGGGCTCGACATGCCTCCGGTCAAGACCTGACAAAAGTTGCCCGAAGCTTGACCAGGCAGCAAAAGGGCAGGACCAAACGAAGGGGCAAGGAGTAGAAATCGAGCTTGCGGGTCACTTTGCAACGTTTGTGGAACAAGCAGGCACGGATTTAAGGAGCGCACACGAACTTTGCGTTGAGGTTTTGAGGTGCAAAGTACTTACGTGACATAGTGATCTTTGAGGCAAGCTGGCAAGCTGTCTCTTTGACTTCAACCTCCAGGAGAAACAACTCTTTCAGAGAATAGGAGCCCACAATTTGCATTTAATACAGAATGCTGACTTGTGACACTCACCTGCTATATCGAACAAAGTGTGGCGTTCCCCTCCATTCCTGGCCTTGCCCCCTCCAAGTCACCAATCCCCTTTCTCGTAAAGATTCTCGCAAGTGACGCCAGTGTGCTCTTGCCGGGCATAAGCAAAGGTCTGCTGAAATTCTAGCCCCTGCTTTCTCATGACGAGAGCCTGAAGTGACTCCCCCAGTTGCGGAGAGCTGATGCAGACACCCCCATCTGCTTGTGGTGGCCATTCCTGGCCAAAGCAGAAGCCAGCCTGAGTCGCAGCGCAAAGCGGCCCGCCGCGAAGAACTCGAAGAAGCACCTCTGCCAATTCTAGAGACCAATTTTGCTGCGCAGACATGACTCAGGTCGCGACGAGCCTAATGCGTTTCAAAAGGTGTAAACAGGCACTCACACTGATATAATCGTCTCACACTCAAGGGTTTCAATAAGCACACTCTTGCGCATCTTCACACTGAGGCTTTGCTCATATTTGCTGTAGCACTGTTTGAGTGTACACTCACCGCTCACTTTCGTACTCATGGCGGCTCAGTTTAACTGTGACCGAGTCGGTTGCTGTGAAATGAGTCGGTTCAATGTGACCGTGTGCACTTGTCGCTCACCTTTGACCTCTTGGAGGCTCGGTTATCTGTGACCGAGTCGATTTACTGTGATTCGTGCTTGTTTACTCTGACGGAATTGTACCTGATTCACCCGTCGATGAAAGAAGGGGATCAGTCTCATGTATTGTACACCGTCGATTTCACAAATCTCTTTTTTGTATACCGTACTGCCATTGTGAATTCGCATAAAAAATAATTATTCAAGACCAGGTCGAAAATTTCAATGAATTATTCTCTGCCTGGTCGAAAAGTTGAAATGCAAATTCAAAGTTTTTAAGGCCAAAAACAGGTCTTTTAGCAGGGAAAATGGGACAAAACGAAATTAAAAATAATCCAGTTTGGTCGATCGATGCGAAATCGTAAAAAGTTCAAACTTAATTATTCGTGGGCCTAGGCCGGGGTGCGAATTCGAATGGCAGTACGGTATTTCGGATCCGTCAGCAGAGGAATTGGTCGTACTTTTTGGTTCATTGGCAAAAGAGCTCGCTCTCAAGTCGCGAGCTCCCGCTACTGGGGCAAAACGGACAAAGTTCCCGAATAAATTTTGGTAGAGTTGGAGACGGACGATCGAGACCGTCGATCGACTGGAACGGTACCCACCGCGGAGAATTTGTACGAGAACCGGACCTAGTACCACGACTTCAACCGGGCACTCGACTAGCCTTAGGGTCAAGTCACAAAGCACTGACTGTGCGTTAGGGTTACGCCCCTTCCCTGTGACTGCTCTACGATTAGGGTTCCCACTAACGGCAAAGCCATTGGTCTGAGGTTTTTAGTGTGCTTGAAGGCTACCCGACCAGGTGAGTGTCCGACCGCGTCCGAATCGTCGAGTACCGCGTCCGGTTCTACCAAAATTTAAATTCAGCAACTTTGTGCCTCTTGCGCCACTGGGTTCGATTCCCAGATCCGTCGGCGTCAATTCTCTTTTATTGCAACCTTTGGCTGGGTACTCACCATCCCTCGACGGTCCCGACCGCGCGGTACCAAGATTCGTGCGGGGCAAATTTCCACTGACACTGACCACTGGAGCCTAGCTAGCCTCGAGTTTGATCGATGTCAAAATTTGGAAACAGTAGGATCCATCCAAAGGTGAAATCCTGCGTAACGCTGATCGGAATCTCCAGTCGAGGGTGTAATACTAGCAGTATATATAAAGCGTTACGGTCGGTCTAGGTTGGTAGCCTGGACTATGTCACATATATAAATCAGGCTCCTCCACATGGAGCCTTCATTTGACTCTGAGTCTGAGCTCTTTTACGTCTAGCCCCTTCTCACAAACGGAACTTCAACCGTGGGTTAATCGGAAGAACCGGGGGGCAGTTCTAGCCTACAGGCCGTAACTCACCTAGCAAACCCTGACGCGACGCGGAAAGAAAGAGGTTCATGAATTTCTGCAAGCGCCTCACTTCACAGTCGTCAGTCTTCAGAGGCAAGGTCAGACTCACAGTTCAGCTCCATGACTCTGCTCATCTCTACCTGATTCCGTCTCGCAGCTACCTAGGTACTACCTACAGCTAGGCGTCTTCAGCAGACCTTCAGGCCTTCAGGCGCCAGCCTCAGGATCAGCTTGCTCGTGTTGGCTTGCCAGCTCGTGCTCCTTGCAGGCTGGACCGTGGTTGTTAGCAATTTCGAGCCCTTCATCCGCTGCACGAACTGCGTGTAGACGCCTTGGTAACTTTGTCTTGAAGGAGGGTAGGCAATTGCCCAGGTTTGAGGAGCTGCCTGTGCTTCTACAAAAAATGTCGGTAAGTTGCATCATCACATCCTTCCCCCTTATGTGGAAGGCAAGCCATTGTTCAAATGGCCACTCTTTTTGGTTCTTGCGAATCAGAGCACCACCTTTGACCACTCTTCTACGCCAATCGCAATCCATCAACTGCTGTCTTTCTCATATCATGCAGATTCTTACATACAATGGCAGTGCGATTATTGCCATGATGGGCAAGAATTGCTTCGCCATAGCAAGCGACAGGCGGCTGGGCATCCAACAGCAGACACTTGCAACCGACTTTCAGCGGATCTTCAAAATCCATGACAAATTGTACATCGGACTCTCTGGCTTAGCATCGGATGTGCAGACACTGTGAGTTTACTTACTCTGAGTCCACTTACTTTACATACTTGGTGTAGGACTACTTCCTGATTCGTTTTGGCAAATTCCAGCTGTTGAAAAGGACCCTGTTGTCAAACCCCTGCTCTTGGCCGCTTCTCTTACTTGACATGTACTGCAAGCGTGTCTCAGAGTTTGGCCTGCCACTAAAGCCGGTGGTGAACCCCTCTGCAGGCACGAGCGGTTCGTCTTTCGGCACAAGCTGTACAAGCTGCGGGAGGAGAGGGACATGAAGCCATCCACCTTCGCAAACCTGGTCTCATCAATGTTATACGAGAAACGGTATATCAGCCATTGATTCATGCGGGTCACCTGTGTGGGCATGTGTAAGCTACCTCTGTGCAGGTGTCCTTCTCTAGCATGCCTCTAAATTTCTCTTCTCATCGTTTGTTGCCGACGGTGAGGCAGGTCGAAAACCGTTCTGATCTTCGATATGCCGCTTGTTGGTCCAGGTTTGGCCCCTATTTTGCGGAGCCTGTGATCGCGGGCTTGAACTCGGACGGATCGCCCTTCATCTGCACAATGGATCTTCTGGGCGCAAAGTAGGTCCTTACAAGCTGACACTCGTCGGCAATTCTTGATTGGTAGAACTCTGTGTCAATGCATACATGATTCTTGTGCCTGACCTAAGGAGTCTTGTTTGCATATACAATCCTGCTCAGTGGTTATACTTGTAAGTTTGCGCATGTTTTTACAACGTGCCTTTTATCGGTTCATGTTTGACAAGTTGCTCGTCTTTTGGTTAGCTGTGAGGATATTAAACAGTAGCTTTTAACCTGTCAGATGTTTAAGCTCGATTGTTCTTGAATCAACTGTGCAGGCAATTCTCCAGTGATTTCGTCGTTTCCGGAACCGCGTCTGAGTCACTCTATGGGGCCTGCGAATCCATGTACAGACCAGATTTGGTGAGTAGTGTGACATATCAGTATGAAAGTTGTCCGTTTTGAAATCTCACCCGCTGCGACTCAATACAATACTCGCCGCTTTGCCGATGTCATCCCTGTGAACAGTTGGAACATGAACCAGGACGGGTGCATCTCCTCCACTTAGTTGATCACATCTCGAATCTATGCAGGAGCCCGAAGACCTCTTTGAGGTGATATCTCAAGCTCTGCTTTCATCTGTGGACCGCGATTGCCTGAGTGGCTGGGGCGGCATTGTCCACATTGTGTAAGTGTACTATCAAGGCTTGTGTTGCTTTTGCCTCTTTCCTTCTCCTCATATCTTTCGAGCAAGTTGGAAACTCTCAAACTGCAGCCTCGTACTGCTTCAATGGCTGAGCATATCCCTATTGGCTCAGATTTTTCGGATACTTTATGTTTCCGGAAGTTTTTCTTCTGGTTGTTCATCCGATTGGTTAGGTCGTTCAAAACCATGCTTTCTGTTCCTTTCGTGCTGCTAATGCAGTACCTCTCTGTCGCTTCCAGCTCTGAAAATGAGGTCATCACCAGGACGCTCAAGGGCAGGATGGATTAGCGTGTCCTTGTATCTCTTCTTCCTTCGAGGACCCGCTTTTGGTAAGTGCAAGTGCGCCTTTCAATCATAGCGAGAGGCGGCAGGCTCGAAGCCAAAAGCAGTGACTGTAACCTTGAATTCGAAATGTGCCCGCCCAATCCGCTTTCCAAGATTATTGAGGTGGCATGTCGCGTGGAAGTGTATGATAGGACACACTCGGGAACCTTGATCAAGAGGTTGCAGGGGGCTTACTGGCTGTGCTAACTTGTTATCCGACTTGGATCATTGAGCTGACGAGATGGTCTGTTGCATAACTTTCTTCGAAATGCAGAGACGAGTGAGCTGCAACTTGGAATACATCCTGAACAGCTTATAGCATTTGGCCATGTTGAGGCTAGGCTTGCACACATGCCAGTAGAAGTCATGAATCCCGGCAGCTAGGTTGGGTCCTCCAGATTAGAGGCCGGTTAGAAATATCCTGATGAATTCAGGGTTGCAGTCAATGCTCGGATCCCATGCGGCCGCCTCATCCAGTATGCATGGATGTTTGCAGGACCGCATAAGACGTACGTGCGTTTAATTTGGCGACATAGATCACTTAGATTCTGTATTATTACGTACTAAGCGCGTGCACTGGCCATGTTCTCGCAACTGCCGAGGGCCATATACATCGATCAATGCCAGCTCTAGCTCTCGATCAGTAACCAGCCGCAGCCGCCTACACTCTGATCTAAACGATCAGAGTCGAACAGGCTCTAGCCAAATCCGTTCATGCCAAAGTTGGGCACGCGTGAGCTGGTGTAAGGATCGCCAAATTCCAATTGGTGATTGGCAAAGTTACAAAGACAAACCGCAGCGAAGTTGTTGCTCTTGTTGTATGATGACTTAAAGGATGCTGCGCACGAACTTAGCAGGCATCTTGCCGTTAGGACTGATGGTCGTTAAGATTGGCTTTCACTATGCTGGAAAAATGGAGTTGAGCACAAACATCCTAATGCCTATCAGATGTGTTAGGAGGTTAATTGTGTGTTACAAAAGCTGTCTAGTCTGTTTGTTGCGAGCTTCTGGCGTCTGAAAAATACCCCGTAAGCAGGCAAGATGTTTCTAGCGTGTTTTTGTACAACGACCATAGCCCCCAGCTGGTAAAGATGAATTCAACGTCATGCGTGGTAGCTTGATCGTGGCTAGACATTGTCATGCAGATTTGACCTAGTATACAAGCCCTCCTTTGGAAGGCACTGAGAGAGCAAGCTTATGGCAAAGCAAAGGGCCTAGGCTTCCAATCATAACCCCAGCGCCTCAGAACTGGGTAGCAGACGAGGGTCGCATTTGCTGACGAGCAAACCTGCAAGATGGTGAGGGTTCACTACTGCTGCACTTCTTTTCGACTGGGAGAGGTACAGGGGCAGACGAGACAAGCCAATGCGGCATCAGGCCTTGCCCATGAGGCACAGATTGGATGGTAAAAGAGAGCAGACAAAGGGTTGATCTACTTATCCACCATCCTCTTGAAGAATCACAGTCCCATTTTCGACAATAGCCAAGCAAGGTTAGGACCTTACGTTTTAGCCACCTTTCATCTCCAAGTATATTGCAAGCATTAATATCTCTTGCCATTGCGTGCTTGCACAAGTGCCGCTTCTGCATCAGGAGCATCAGGCAAAGGTCTAAAGGACAGACAGACGAACCACAAGCATGGCAGCCACTTACTGCACGGTCAGTCCTCCTGACTCCGCAAAGCGGAGGGGGATCCCTTGGAGCTGGTGCATTGCTTGTGACGAAGCCTCCGTATCCTGTGAGCAGCTTACAGTTGGATAAGCAAGTAGACGAATATATCAGATAAGATACATCAAGAGTACAGAAGCATCCTCGTCTGATGCATTGATAGCACAAGGTTGTGCAAAAGCAGCATCACAAGTAGAAGGCGCACTCACCGCAAACTCCACAAAAGCAGTTGGACCCCTCTTTCCGTTCCCTTGCACCAGGCGCAGCTTCCGAAAGCCTGGGACACTGGTTGACAGCCAGCCCAAGCACATGAGTGAGACAAGGGGCAGCGTGGCATCTTAACACTTGCTTGTTGAACCAGCCAAGATGTAGAGAGATCAGAGGACATTGTCACAAAGTTCAGAAGCACTTCAAGTACATCACCCCTTCCCAGTCAAAAATCATGCAGTCTTCTGTGAGACCTTCAAGCAAAAGCCCGAGTCCTCACCGGATGAACATAGATTTCAGCTCATCCTCTTTCGTGCCATCCACAAGGTTTGTAACAAACAGAGTTGAGCAGGGCGGGTTGATGGGGGAGCGCTCCACATTGAGGGGGGCAAAGTTGGATCCAAAGGGCAGGTTCCGAGCCTGCTGAGAATGTTGGTGCTGTTGCTGCTGTAGAGACAAGTATTAAAGACACAGTTCAGCAGAAGCATCGGAGAAAGCCGACACACAACAAAGTGATCAGAATCAAAACGCAGTTGCCACAATCTGGACAAACAACCAGGGCAAGTATGCTGCCTCAAGTTGGAACCACTGCAGGCTGTGCAATTGTCAGACTCTACTCAGGAGGACCTCAAAGATGGCGCTCGTGATGCCTACCAGGTGGGATACAAGCGCTGCAGCATAAGGGTCGTTGGCAAAAAGACTGGAGGTTCCCGCTACGCTGTGAAACAAGAAAGAGGAGCATCATAAGCCATTGCTCTGTTCATAACACGTTCTGCTTGAGCATGCAACAACCAGGGGGCATCCCAGAAGCATCGCATGTGCAAGCCACAGCCAAAGCAGGTGAAATAAGCATGACCATTGGAGCGGTGTTCCAGTGAAGGTGCGCAGTGGGGCCAACGGGAGAATGTGCACCTTTGTGCTCCCAGCAAGCCTTGGAGGAGTGTTGGGGTGGAGAAGGGGCTGTTGGCGCCTGGCCCAATGGAAGTGAAAAGAGGTGAGTCCGGCTCTGATGCGACAGTCTCGTAGGACCACAAGAGGTCGTTAACGACCCATGCTTGCTGGCAGGTTTCTGGAAAGTGGGTGCCACTGACATTGCGGAAGAAGTACTTGCAAGGAGAGCCAGTAAGATTCTCGGCAAAGTTCACAGCAAGTGGTGTTGTGTGGATTGGTGCCCAGGTCTGTCTGGCGCTTCACTGGGTGGTGAATAACAGGACAAGAGACTGGAACTGTCCAAAAGTGGAGTGATGTTTTCAATGTAGTCCAAAGTAAATGGTGCTGCTGGTTCCATTAGACAACTGTGCGGAACCCCTGCATGATTCAAGATGATGCAGTTAGTGCTGGACACTCACCTCCAACTGCTGCCGCTGCCAACGCATATGAATCCAGCGGAGGAAGGGTCACAAGTGGGGGAATGGCACTGCGAAGCTTCTTCTCGCGAGGCTGCTGCAGTTCCCCTGCATAAGCAAAGCCGCAAACTTGTAAGTTGAGGTCACTGAAAGCCAACAAAAATCTGGCATCCTCCGCAAGGATCTTGACAGCTCTTGAGAGTCTCCTAGCCAATCCATGTTCCTGAGGTTGAGCAGAGACAGGTCTGTTCAGGATCGGCCTTTGAAAGAGAAGTTCGTGAAAAGGTGCAACCAGAGCCTGGCGTGGGTAGAATCTGCTCCATATAACATGAGAGGACATACCTGGCCTGCCCCTTTTCAGTACTTTTGAGTTTTGCTTAGCCAGATCTATTTGTAACCGCGCATCGATGTCCGGGTCGAACAAGGTGTCCTGCAAAGGACCCGTACAGGCGGCTGTGTGGGGGACCATTAGATTGTCTGCAATGTGATCATCAACATTAACAATGCAAATTCCTACTGTGCTGTAGTGGACAACATTCAACGTCACTCAGCACCACATGATTTCAAAGAGTGCCCATAATGCGAGTCTCCAAGGAACAGGCAGTTTGCATGAGCTAGAGGTTCTCTAATTAGGATTGGCTGCCCGGCACAAGTTGGGTGGATCAAACCAGAGGGATTGGCTTGCAAGGGATGGCAATGAATATGGACTCACATTGAGCGATTCTCTCACAGCCAGCGCCTGAGCTTGGGTTCTGAAAGTGGCAAAGCCAACAGGCTGCAACAAACAAATAATCTTGTGCTCAGGCGATAATATTGAAAGGACACCCGCTCACGACAGAGCGAAAAGAACTTCTTCAAGATTTTGGCAAAAGGCAATGCGAACATGAGAGGATGACTTCAATATACAAGCCACTTTTTTCCTGCAAAATCACCTAGCTCATGGGTGCCTGCTTCTTGACATCTGAAAGACAATAACGCTGACCTTTGAGCTTTTTGCAGCTCGTTTGATCTGGCTGCCCTCGTATCCTTCAAACGTTCTCATTAGGTTGTAAAGCTCCCTTTCCCGGACGTCTTCCGGCAACCCCGACACAAAGAGCGTCCGAACTTCTTCGTGCCCATTCTGATCTGCACTGTGGCTCACAGCAAAGGAAGTGTCAGACGTGGGGGTTCCCACAGACGCCATCGATTGCTACACCTTCTGTTACGTCTGGTAGTTCATTCAATGGGACCCGCCATTTCTCCCTCCTTTGTGACTTCGAAGTGGTCCCATCGATCAATTCCCCATTGGCATTGGGGGAGTCCTTTTGTAGGCTACAGCTGGTACACAGTACACTTGTCGCAGCGCTGGCGCTTCTCGGGGCGCTTCTTGCAATCTACGGTCTACCTAGGTAGGTAGCTGCCATAGGTACCTGGGTACCTATACCCGTACCAACACGCCGGTTGGGCAGATTTTTGCCCAGTTATTATTACGTACGTTTTGAAGTTGGGCAACTCATTTTGGAATCTCTGAGAATTTGAACATCTTGGTACAAATAAAAGGGAAAGTGCCTTTTCATACCTACCACCCAAAATGTCTTGATCCAAATATTCAAATTTTCACTCATTTGAAAATCTGGGCAAGGATGATACTCCTAATTTTGAAAGTATTAAAAATTTTGGGCAAAATTCAAAATAATTAATTATTGCCCAACCGGCATGTTGGTACGGGTAATAGTGGTGTCAACAAGAGTCAGTACCGTGCCACTCTGCCACTGGTAACTCCCATCTCACTTAACAGCCATTTCACTTAGGAAAGGCGCCCGGGAGACGGGTAGGGTTGGTTTTGTGGTCCGGGTGGGTTCGGGGCCGGGCTTCGGGCGCGAAGCGGGTGATTTTCTCGGTTAGGATTTTTAGTTTGTTTGCCCGGGTAGCTTGGAAGTTAAAGTGAAATGGCTCTGAAGTGAAATGGATTATGGGAGTTACCAGTACCGGTATCCGGCACCGTACCTACTACCTTACCTACCCAGTACCTACCTACCTAGGTACCTACCTATACCGTACGGTATTAAGAAGCTGGGTTGAAAGTCACCAACCTGTGGGTACTTGGCAAAGATTGATTCTTATTTGTTTAATCACCGCGCGGTTGCTTTTACCGGTTGCACAAATGCCCCGCCAATTACGCAACATGGCAACATTCAACCAACATTGTCCGCTCTCCCGGGCATGCCCGAGGGCCGAGAGTCAAGACGAGAGGTAAAAATTATCAACTTTTCATACCCACGCCAACTTGAAAAGACCTAAATTTTGTACCCAATGAATAATAATACGACAACGTACCAGTACCCTAAAATTAAAGCACACCAGCAGGGATTCCCATGCCATGGACTTTCGTCCCGGCCAGCCAGCCACAGGCAGCCCCCCGGTTGTACCAGCTGGGGGGTA